GTTGGGAACTTAATTTACATACACGTACGGGCCCCAATCCCCAAAATGGGCGCCATTACCCGTGTGGTACCCGCGCACGGGCCTACCAAAGCCTTTTTCGGGTAGGTCCATAACTCGGGGATTTGAGAAAATAGAAAGCTGAAATCTTAGGGTGATGTTCCCCGTCCAGGTGGGTATTAGTGAGCTCAAACCCAGCCCCCGAGTAAGCGTGGTACCCACATACTGGCCAGCCAAAGTTTTTTTCGGGAAAGTTGATAACTCGAGTACCTGAAAATTTAAAGGACTGTAATTTTAAGAGGGCATCCCCTGTCCACTGAAGTTTCATTCAGCTCAAAACCAACTCTCGGGTATGCGCGGTAAACACTCAAAGGCCCGTGAAAGTTTCCAGCAAGTTGCTAACTCAGGAGCCAGGAAAGCTAGGAAGCTGAAATTTTAAGGGGGTGTTTTCTGACAGTTCTGGCGGCCAATTTTAGTTTGTTTAGCTAGAAGCATTTGCCGAAGAAGCCGGTGCCGGCAGCGACAAAAACTGCGGGGAACTACGCAAAAAACGCGCCTTCGCACGAGCAGCCCGTGCGTTGGCCAGCTATATTGATTACTGTGCTTCTGTAAAGTATTGGCTGTGAGCTTTGCACAATTTACATTGATCCTCCAATTTTCAGCGAAAAAATCAAGTGGTAATGAATCGCTCGTAAGCTCAACGGAGTTCACATGTGTTGGGCACATTTGCCTTAATCGTGACACTGTTGGTATGCAGAAGTTTTACTTGGATGGAGCTGTGTATCCTCTTGAAGGAACCATTGAAATTGATTCACGTTGCACCACTCTTCCACCGGTCATCGAAATCGATTTTCGTGGATTCCTAGTAAGTCAGATTAGAAGTTTCAAATAGTGAGCGCCGAAAAAAAGGAAAAAATTTTGATTTATATTGCGAGCCTGCGTTTTCAGTACTGCGAAACGTATTATACGGTTGTTTTGCTTTCAGACAATGTATCAAATGGTAGCAGGTCTTGGATCGTGGGCTAGATACTGGGCAGTTTTGCGCCGTGGGGTCGTTCAGTTCTGGAAATATCCCGATGACGAGGCTTCTGAAAAGGTAATTTAACATTCGTGTTTATTGAAAAAAAGTTTATAAGCGTTTATTATGAAGAAAAGCATGTGTTAAATGGCAATAAGAATGGGGGATATGATACACTGGCTATCTTAAGAGTAGAGGATAGCATTGCATAGGTAAAGGGAAAAATCTTGGTACCCTCTGTTATTTTTTCTTTTTTCTCATCACTTCCCTACTACCTCTGTAGATAGAGAGAAAGGTTGCAGTTAAATAGCAGCATGAATGAGGGAAATGATACTTCACTCGCTCACCACTGTTGGCCAGTAGGCTACCTCCGGCCTTTCGCCTGGAAGCCGCTCTACATCCGCGATAAGCAGCCAAGATACCTTTGCAGGATAATCTTGCAAAAGCACTGTTATGCTATAGCAGTGTATGCTCTAACAGTCCGCGTCTTTTCTCAGCTATGTAGATCTGAGGGGTATATTACGGATGCATGTGTATGTATGTATGTATGTATGTATGCATGTATGTATGTATGTATGTATGTATGTATGTATGTA